TCTCCTCATCATGAAATGTGGCAAAGAGGAAAAGAGCATTAAATGTGGCAAAGAGACTAAAAGAAGCAGTGTCCCCATGCCTTCTGCATTAGCGTCTCTAGGGTTTTCAACTCAAGATGCCCCACACCTTAAGGAGCATCCCCTCTCCAGCTCTCAGCCGGGGTTGCTCACCAGTAGAATGATGGGGTGGACCACTGTGGACAGATAAATCACCTTCCATTTAAATTCCTGCGATGGGAAAATACATGCAATGTTGAGCACCAGTGAGAGCCTTGATGTGTGCATGAGCACTGGGGCATGAGAGCCCAAGATATACAAGAAGGTCTTTTTGTCGTGTCTTCCCAAAGATGTGATGAGCAAAACATGCCAGTGAAGAAGACAATGGTAGGGACTGTTCAAGTAATAATTTTTAGAGGGAAGAAGTAGAATTTCTCAAATATTTCCTGATAGTATTTCCAGTGGCATTCCAAGATTGCAGACCTCTCCTTCAATAATTCCTATATATGCTTTCATTGTTTATGAAAAATAAGATGGCATTCAAGCTGAAAAACCCCACAGAGCTGAGCAACCCAACCCAAACACCTTCTGCTTTGGGCAGAGGAAGACAGGGTGAGTGAGGATTGCAATTTTCACATGATAGAAAACACTGTGCCAGTAGGAAAACCATAAGGTAGCATCATTCAAGAAGTCCCAGTGAAAGGCGAGGAACTGGAGTACAGGATTGTACAGGAAGGAATTTGGATACAGAAAAACCACAAATTCTCTCACTGATCAACACCCATTACAGACAGAACCAAGAGGCTCCAGGCTGATCAATAATTTATCTCAAGGTGACAATATTCTCCACAGCAACCACTGCATGCCTAGTTCTGCAGTAATTAAGCCATTCTTCACCACAGCTATCAGACACAAAATAAATAAAATTATATCCAAGGTGATGGCTCTCTTTTCCATCACCGGAAGTCCTAAACCATGCCACCCCTATTCAGCTCTCCTGTGGAAAAGGTGGGTGCCAGGACTTCAAGGTGTATTCCTATAGGGTTACTCTGAAAGGTCCTGGATGATGGTTGTCCCTCCAGCAGCCCAAATGCAGAGGAAAGAATAGAGGATGTGAGCAATCCGAAGAGGATAAAGAGGTTCTTCCCAAAACAGACGCAAATATTGTTAAGGCTCAGTTTTGAAGGTCCTCCTGCTTGCCCAATTTGCCTACACTCTCTCTGCCTGTTGTCTACCTGTATCAACATTGGTGTGGATAATATATCGGGCCCTTGCATTTACTAGCAACATTGCTTACACAGCAATTGATACATCTTAAAGCTGACACCTACTACATGACCATATATCTGCAGGCAGCTGGTGAGGAAATCCACAAGGTGCATCCCCTACAGCAGCGGTTCTCAACCTGTG